CAAAGTATGTAAGATGAAGCTTCAGAATCCTTGCCTCCAAGGAGCAGCCTAATTTCACCCTCTAGAAGAGGAAACTGTTCTCCTAGCGGTTCATGGTATACTGAATACTCTTCTCCAGCACCACAGCTCAAAGGCATCAATTCTCCTTCTGTCATCCCTATTCATTGTCCAGGATTCTAATGCATAGCAAGTAATTGCAAAGAGCATGGCCTGAATCAGGCACACCTTAGTCTCCACACTGATATCACTGCTCTTCAGTAATCTAGAGAGGTCCCTGACAGCAATTTTCCCAATGCAATTTGGCTTTTGATTTTCTGACTGCTGGTGCCAAGAGCATTAATTGTGGTGTCAAGCAAACTGAAGCTGTTAACAATCGCAATCTCTTCACAGTCTATCATGATGCTGCCAATTGGCCCAAGAGTGAGAATTTTTTGTTTCCTTGATGTTATACTAAAAGGGTATTGTTGTTGTTGTTGTTATGTGCCATTGAGTCGCTTGCGACTCACAGCGACCCTATGTACAACAGGCCTAAACCCTGTTCTATCCTGTGCCAATCGCACTGCTTCTGTCATCCCGATTACCCCAGTCACTGAATCAATCCAACTCAGAGGGTCTTCCCCTCTTGTGCTATCCCTCCAACCTCCCAAGCATGATGTCCCTCTCCAAGGACCTGTCCCTCCTTACAACATGTCCAAAGTATGTCAGAGGAAGCCTCAGAATCCTTGCCTCCAAGGAACAGTCCGGTTTAACCCTATGTTGAATCTGTTTGTTTTCTTGGCAATCCATGGTACATTTTCAATACTCTTCTGCAGCACCACAGCTCAAAGGCATCAATTCTTCTTCTATCCTTCCTAGTCACTGTCCAACTCTCTGACGCATAACAAGTGATTGCAAAGACCATGGCCTGTATCAGGCCCACCTTAGTCTCCAGAGTGGCACCATTGCTCTTCAGTATCCTGGAGAGGTCCCTAACAGCAGACTTCCCCACTGCAATATGTTTTTTGATTTCCTGGCTACTGGTGCCAAGAGTGTTGACTGTAGAGCCAAGCAGATTAAAGTTGTTAACAATCTCAATCTCTTCACCATCCATCTTGATGCTGCCAATTGGTCCAGTAGTGAGAATCTTTGTCTTCTTGACATTGAGCCTCAATCCGTATTGGAGGCTGCAGTCCTTGACCCTCTGCAGCAAGCATTTCAGGTCCTCCTCAGTTTCAGCAAGCAGGGTTGTGCCATCTGTATAATGCAGATTGTTAATAGATCTTCCACCAATCCTGATGCCACACTTCTCCTCATAGAGGCCAGCCTCTTGGATAATCTGCTCTGCATACAGGTTGAAAAGGTATGGAGATAGGACACATCCCTGGAGTATACCTTTCCCAATTTTGAACCATGCAGTGTTTCCCTGCTCTGACGACTGCCTCCTGGTCCAAGTATAGGTTTCGCATTAGGACAATCAAGTGTTCTGGGATTCCCATTCTTCTCCGAGTCAACCACAGTTTGTTATGATCCACACAGTCAAATGCCTTTGCATAATCAATGAAACACAGACATTCTTCTGGTATTCCCTGCTTTCAGCTAAGATCCAGCTAACATCAGCTACCATATCCCTAGTTATCACGACCCCTTCTAAACCCAGCCTGGACTTCTGGCAGTTCTCTGCTGATGGGCTGTTCCAGTCGTTTTTGGATAATCTTCAGTAGAATCTTGCTTGCATGTGAAATCAATGAGATTGTTCTATAGTTTCCACACTCTGTTGGGTCACCCTTCTTTGGAATGGGATCAAATATAGATCTCTTCCAGTCAGTGGGCCAAGTGGTTGTTCTCCAGATTTTTTGACACAACTTGGTGAGCACATTCAGGGAAGTATCTATTAGCTGAAACACATCAATTGGTAAACCATGTATTCCTGGGGTCTTATTTTATGCTTTTTCCTCCAAAGCAGCTTGAACCTCCTCCTTCATCACCACAGGCTCTTGCTCATATGTTGTTTCATGAAATTCTTCTATGTCTAACAATTCCTTTTGATACAGTGACTCAGTATATTCCTTCCATCTTCTTTTAGTACTTCCTGGATCATTTAATATTCTGCCTAAAGCATCCTTGATTATAGCAACTCAAGGTTTGAATTTGTTCTTCAGTTCCTTGAGCTTAAGAACGAGTTCGGGCCTTTTGATTTTCCGACTCCAGCTCCTAGCACATTTCATTGTAATATTTATCAAAATAAATAAAAGGGTATTATTTATCAAAATATATACTATGGCAACAGTAATATTCTAGGTTAAACTGCAGGTTATTTAAAAATGATCATAAATATTTCAGAATTGAGCATGGGTAGTACATATGAGTTTGTGATATCAGGCATTTGCAATTATCTACCTCCTCATTGAAAGCAGGGACTATGTCTTTTTTTTCTTTGTACACCTAAAGCCAAGTTGTCTAGTTAAGAAAAGGTACTCCAGTATCATCTGTGGAATGAACTATCCCCTTTTCTGAGGCGAAGCATCTTCCAAGTTAATTCTCCAGTTTTCTTGTGCTTTTTGAAGTAACATGAAATTTTTCTTTATTACCTAAATTTCCTACAATTAAATGTATTTAAAAAACTAAAATACCAAAATCTTGTATCCAATTGGAGGGAGGAAAAAAGTTTTCAGATTTTTTTCTGTATTTACAGCTTAAAGTGAATAAGCCCTAGTGTGATACAACAATACATATATTTGCACTATTTTACAAATGAATTTATTGAATAATCTCCACTGGAATGAATTCCTTAACGTAAATTCCCAGGAGTAGAACTGTTAGGGCAATTATCTTTATAACTGATGATTTTATTAATACAGGCTGATTTTTAGGCAAGTTATACTAATAAATATTCATAACATCAGGGTATGATGTTACCTGTGTCCTTAAAACACTATCAAACAAATATCTGTTTACTTAGTGCTAGGCACTGTGTTGTTCTCACTAGAATAGGGCACTGCTATTCTTTATTCCTGTGCCAACTACATTAAAATGGAAACAGTATCTTCAATTGTTACCTATTTCTTTAAACCATTATTCAACAAATATCTATTAGCCTAGGCACTGTGTTAGCTGTTGTTCTCATTAGAACTGGGCACTGCTACTCTTTATTCCTGTGCCAACTACATTAAAATGAAAACAGTATCCTCAAGTTAATGAAAACTATTTTGTTACTAATATTTATGAGTTATCTGTGCATCTATGTGCAAGTGTTTGCCCAGTTCAGTTTGTAAGAGTTTTTATTAATTAAATTTCTTTTTAAAACTTTGTAACATGTGGTTATCCACACTCGACCCCTCGATGTAGGAGGTGGAGGAGCAGCCGCAGCACCTGCTGCAGATCAAATACCTCAGGGCGGACCCGGGCAAAGTGCTGACGCCCACCCAGGTGAAGAACTGCCCCTCCAGTATCACACTGGATGGCCTCCATTCAGGTAAACTCTACACCTTGGTCCTGACAGACCCAGATGCTCCCAGCAGAAAGGAGCCCCAAGTTCACAGACTGGCATAATTTTCTAGTGATTAACATGAAAGGCAATGACAACAGCAGTGGCACAGTCCTCTCCGATTATGTGGGCTCTGGGCCTCCCAAAGGCACAGGTCTCCACCACTACGTGTGGCTGGTTTACGAGCGGGACAGGCCCCTGAAGTGTGACGAGTCTATTCTGAGCAACTGATCTGGAGATCACCAAGACAAGTTCAAGGTGGCCTCCTTCAGCAAAGAGTACGAGCTCGGCTCGGTGGTGGCCGGCACATGCTACCAGGTAGAGTGGGATGACTACATGCCCAAGCTCTACAAGGAGCTGTCTGGGAAGCAGAGCGCTGAGCCACCAGGGGGTTCCGGAGCCACCCAGCCCCACTCTCCAGCTCAGTGAAGCATGTAGATGTCTCCTCCTCCCAATTCCCATTCTCATCAGGGACACACTTCCTGGTGCCTGCCCTTTATACTTCTGGAAAGTCACACCTGCTAGTTTGTATTCTGATCAGATCTGAAGTCAAATATTTGTGGGGGAATGTTTTGGTACCTTTATGGGGCCATCAAATTGTTACTATAAAAATGAGCGACCCAGAGTTTTAAAAAGGAGGAAAAATATGCAAGTGAATGTACCAGGTTTGAAGAAATAGAGCATTACTGGGTCCTTAAAAGAGACCACAGTGGTGGCCTGGATGGGCAGAAGTACTGGCTGTGAGGCCTACAATCTGTGCTGGTTAAACTGATTGCTCTTCCTTGATGTAGCAAGCTGAACTTGAGTTGTTAAATGGTGTGTTAATTTTGCTGTTTGCTTAGGGTTGAGTAAAAGTAAAAACACTGAGTGGATTGGAAAAAAACAACAACAACAACAACAACAACAACAACAAAACCACCAAAAACCAAAACCAAAACCAAAAACCTGAAACATTATAAATATTTACCCCATCCAGCCAAACACTATTAACACTGGTTATCAGGACTGGAGATGCTGGGGATATAGTGGTGAACAAGATAAAAACCTTTGTTCCCATGTAGTTTACATTTTGGTTATCTCTTCTCACTTGCTTTTAACTTGGTTTTTATTATTTTAGGATGCTGAAAAGGTGGTCTGCTTATGCAAACATGTACCATAAGTCATTGACTGGCACAGGAGAATGCCCCTCCTTCTCCAGTGGAGTATCTAGTGGATTTGAACCCTGCCTTCAGGATTGCAGTGCTTAAGTTTTTTAAATGTAAAGAGTTGCACTGCCAACCCAAAGGTATGTGGTTCAAATCTACCAATCAACTCCTATGGGATTTACTGCCTCTGAAAACCTAGAAGGTCAGCTAAGAGTCAGTTCCATCTCAATGGTACATAACAACGAAAATCAAATCTATTTGTTCTTTTAGCATCCAACATATGATACCTTGCTTATACATCATTTTTATAAGGAAGGTCTTCACAAATTTAAGAATGAAAAACGTCAGTATCTCCAAAGTAACCCAACCCTGATTACAAAGCAACCACTTACATCTGTGTCAACCCACTGGCGAACATCCATGGGTGCAGCTGTCATGTCATCTATTTTGTAAACAATGTTGGTTGGTGCCTTTTCTGCATGTCTGATTATCCCCACAATAGTGACCTAGGTCAAAGAAAAAAAGTTTCGATTTTCTGAAAATAAAGGCAGCACTTAAAATTAAATCTTATTACATTCTTCATATAATTAAATGACTCTTCCATAAATTCTTTTACATACCTGTGAAATCTCAACATTGCCAATTTTGAATACTTCATCAACCAGAGTGGCAGAAAGGAGCTGAGATATGGTACAAGGTACAATGTGCTGGGCTCTGGCTCTCTGAAAAGAATATGCATACAGTCAACTAAGAAAATAACCACTATTCCCTAATAGGAGCTCTGATGGCCTAGTGATAAGGAATTGTATGGTCAACCCAATGGCAAGTGGTTCAAATTTGCCAGGTGCTCTGTGGGAGAAAGACAGGCTAGCAACTACTGAGCTATTTACAGCCTCTGGAAACCTACTGCAGGTCAGCTATGAGTTGGTCCTAACTAGAATTAATGTGCTATAGGATCTCAGAATAATCTATTCAGTGGGTTAAGTGGAAAACTCTAGCATTGGGCTGGACTTCGAGATAAGAATTTTGATAGTGAAAATATAGCAGGTATGGAATGGGCATTTCTAGTCACAGGCTATTATGTGCTCGTACAGACTCATACAATATTGTATAAAAAGTCATGGGGAATTAAAAGTTAGAACTCTTCTTGTCTAAATCAATTGGAAATAACACAAAATTCTAAGACACAGCATAGACTCTTGGCCTTCAGGCATATATTTAACAGTCTAGCTCTGACTTAAAATGCATGACATGACCCTGGCAATACTTTACAAACAAGGAAAGCTAAGCTTAGGAGTGAAGACTGCAACTCTATGGCAGTTAATTCAAAAGCTCTTGTATATGTTTCTCAATCCACCTCTTATTAATTTCCTCAGCTGTAAAACTGGGATAAAGGCATTATGGCAACTAAATGTAATAATATGGTCATGAACTTAGAATACTGCCTGGAACATAATTTTAAAAACCAGAAAACAAACCCTACTGCTGTTGAAGTAAATTCTGACTCATAGTGACCCTCAACTGGACTTCTGAGGCTATAAAAGTCAATGAAAGCTGACTGTCCCATCTTTCTTTTTGAATAGCTGGTGAACTTGAACTGCTAAACTTTCAGTTAGAAATCCAGCACAAAATGCACTGTGCCACCAGGACTCCTTTTGGAATATTATAAACTCTGAGTATGAATAGTATCCCATCATTCTTTCAATCTACAATAACTTTGAAAAAAAGGATCTGAAGGCATTAACTATGTTTTCCAATTTTACCGTATTTTTAGGTTAGTATTCACAAATGTCAAATCTGCAGAGGTCCTAAGATTTATCTCTTACAATCTAACACATTTTCTGGTTTTCCCTATCACAGCTGAGCTGTTCATTGCCTGGATTTACTACCACCTCTTCAGTAAATACTCACTTTTTGAGTTGTTGAAATATATAATGCATATACTAGTATATATTCGTTGCGTGTGTATTACTTTTATAAGCTGAGTATTCTTTTCATACGGACTATGAACCACTGTCTGTCAACAAACAACACAACAGGAAAACAGAATTTTTATGAATGAAAATGATATCAATATATACTGAGTTTGTATTAAGTAGGAAAGATTTTTCACAGGTATTTATTTAATCTTCTATAGAGAAAGCATTTGATTAAAAACCAAAATGTCCTGAGTTTAAGCCCCTAATTTCTTTTTCTCTGAAAAGCTCTTAATATCTGACTAGAGATTCTGAAATAAAAAAAGTTCTAACACCTAGAACGGAGAAAAGCAACTGGTAGGTGAAAAGGACAAGAACCAGTATCTATTTTCTGTTTTCTCCTTCACAACCCCAAGGAAGACAGAGCTAGAGGACTTGAATCTCCTCTGGTCTTCCTGAGAAAAAAAGACCACCACAGTCAGAGACAAGAATGCTCACCAGATTTTAGATTTGCATATCATCATGTATACACTGTCTAGTTCTAATTATTTACTTACTTTTCAGGTTGAGGTAATCCTTTCATCTTCTCTGAACAACTGAACAAGTTAATAGGATTATGTGAAATACTAAGCATACACACATACACAATAATAACTAAATATATGTGAATTATACAAAATACATAGCTTAGTGAATTCTAACACTGTATTTTACATGATACTTAAACTTTATTAATAGATTTGTTCACAACTCATCCAGAATTATTCCTGATAAAATGTGGGGTTTTTTGGCGTGGGGGGGGGGGGGAGAAGGGGAAGACATCAAAAGAGAAACCAGACAGCCCTGCATCCACAGGATAGAATCAACAGCAGTTGCTGCATGCAACCATTTCACAGATCTTGCTTCACTGAGATCATGTTGTCCAAAGTCCATGTTATGTTAAAAAACAATTGGGTCGATTCACTTAAAATAACTATAGGACACTTTCATAAGCACCTATATGGGATGTGTGTGTGTGTGTGTATGTATAGATAGATAAACAGCTAGACAGATATAGATATAGATATATGTAAGAATATTAAACCTCAGTAGAGGGTTTATATATATAGGATAGTGAAGGGTTCAGAGTTGCCATACACTGGGTCGCTATACGTGGAAGGCATATAACATCAACAACATACTATATTGGTTGTTTGGTTTCTTTTTTTAAAAGTCTCTTGCTTAGAGTCAACAAGACCTTGGGGAGACCACCTTTGTATTTAAAAGTCGGTTGTTCTTATTTTGGAGGAACATTCTTCTGAGTGGTACAGGACTCTTCTGTCAATATGCTGTACTGAGTAACCTGCGGTTGCTTGCAACACTGCAGTGTCAAATGCCTTAAGGGTTACCCATGGTGGACAGTATTTGGTGGAGCTCCCAGTTTAAAGACAGGTTTGGAAACAAGAGTGGCATCCACTTCCTAAACAACATACCTCTGGAAACTCTATGACCTTTGATAAATGACTACAGTTATAGGAAGGCTTCAAACCTTTTGTTCAGAGGGTTGCTATGAGTTGTGCTCGACTCGATGGCAATAAACACCACCACACTATACACATATAATAATATCAGGAATATTAAACCCTTGTGAAGTTTTTATTAGCTAGTCTTAATATGCACAAAACTCCTAAGGTTTAGAAACTTACCCGAAGGTAATTTACAAGAAAACACGTACTGACTTGATTAAAAAAATCATGCCCTGAACCCTACCTGAAGGTACCCTACACTGCCTCATATTTGACGACTCTAGAGTTCACGAAGAGGGCAAACCAGGCTATCAACTACACGTTAAGAGTTTTCCCAGAAGGCAAATTAGCTATTTTGACAAATGTAAAAATAAAACCAAGGAAGCAGAGGAAGTAAGATTAGGGACGATTTCATTTTTAAAACTTCCAACACTGAATCGTCAAAAGAGAGAAAACAAGGCTCAGAACCTTTCATTACCAATCAGTTCATGCTTAATATCGTTCATATGTGGCACACATCTCAGATTAATTCGGAGCTTTAGAACAGGATAGAATAAAACGAAATACTCTTTGAACCTACTGTTTTCTTTTCAGCCTGAGTAGGGGTGGGCGACCCAAAGCCCCCCGGGGACTGCGTGTAGCCGCCGGCGCCACCGTAGGAAGAGCCGCCGAAGCTCTCAAACCCACCTGTTTTAAACAACAGTGTGTATTACTATCTGGGCTGTTTTGCAGACTTCTGGAAATTCCACAAATCCTTTCAGACCTCAATTCCCCCAAACACTCCTATCACCTCCCAAAATTCCTTAGCTTTTACTTCTTGGACCATCGACAGTTCCCAAACACCCCTGCCCTCCCTTCTAGCTCCTGCTTCTTCTCCCCTAAATCCTCTACACCCGCTCTCCGACCCCACACTCTCCCTCTTGCTCAATCTTCCTCGCGACCCCCATTTTTTTCTGTCCCACCCCTATTTACTATTCCACATCTTGGTCGTGACTTCTTCTGGAGACGGGCCCAGTAACTCCGATCTACAGGGTCCCGGGGGCTCTCCTAGACCCTGTTGCTGGTTGCAGCAGTACAGCTACTTTTCACTGGCGCCACAAACTCCTTCCCGCGAAGGACAGAGCCAATCAGCGTCCAGGACACTTCTCCCTTTAGCCAATCAATGCTCACGAAAGTGCTTCTTCCTGTCTCCTCTGGCCATGCTCCTGAAAACGCGGGGGGCGGAAGCTGCAAGACGAGCCGAGCAAGCGGAAGCGAAGTGCCAGGGATTGACTATAGGGCGGGGTCTCAATAAAACAACCAATCAGTGATCACACTTACGTCACGTCCTTTGCTCTCTCTGCCTTCCTGTTCCGGCTAAACAGTTGTCAGTGTATCGACGCCACGGTTTAAATACCTGTAGAGAGATTTCTACTTCGGTGGCCTCTCGCTCAGCATTGCAAGCTCAGGAGCTAGTATTACCAGCCTCCCTGCACCTCAGGGAATTGCCTGTACTTCTTCACAAGGATCCATGTTCTATTCCTATTTAGTGATTCTCTTTAGTAAAGATAGAAGGAACTCAGATATCTTACCCTTGGCAACTCTTCAAAAGATCTCAAGATGGCGCTTGCTGCCCTGCCTGTCCCAACCTAGTCTATTCTAGGCTTGGTATCCATTTTATAAGACAACTAAGTTTCATAAGACGTCATGCTAGCAAAGATGGACGGTCAGTGAAAGAGGAGGGCCCTTAACAAGATGGATTGACACAGTGACTTTAACAATGGGCCACACAGAGATGGTGAGGATGGCCCAGGTTAGGGCAAGGTTTAGCTGTTGTTCGTCTTTCTTCCAAAGAGCAGCTAATGGATTTGAGCCATCTTCCGTTATTTTGACTGTGCTACTTCTTAAGCTTTGTTATGTGCTGTCGAGTCACTTGCAACTCATAGCGACCATATGCACAAAAACTGATCACTGATATGTCTTGAGCCAATTTCTTGGTCCGCGAAACACCTACCCCATTATGCCAATCCCTGAGTCAATACATCTCGTTCAGGGTCTTCCTTTCTTGTGCTGTCCCTCCACCCTTCCCTCTCCAAGGACTGGTGCTTCCTGGCTAGAGCCCCAAAGTATGTGAGGTGGAGCTTCAAAATCCTTGCCTCCAAGAAGCAGCCTAGTTTCATCCTCTCCAGGGTGAACCTGTTTGTTCTGCTAGCAGTCCATGGTATACTCAGTACTCCAGCACCACAGCTCAAAGACATCAATTCTTCTGTCATCTTTAGTCATTGTCCGGCTCTCTGATGCATAGCAAGTAATTGCAAAGACCATGACCAGTTGCATCTTAGTCTCTAGATTTACATCTTTGCTTGTCAGGACTCTGGAGGGGTCTCCTGACAGATTTTCTCAGTGCGATTCTTTTGATTTCCTGACTGCTGGTACCAAGAACGTTGATTGTGGAGCCGGGCAAGCTGAAGCAGTTAACAATCTCAATCTCTTCTCCATCTATCATGATGCTGCCAGTTGTCTAGTGGTGAGAATCTTTGTTGGGGTGTTTTTTTTTTTTATGTTGAACTTTAATCCATATTGAAGATCCCTGACCTTCTGCAGCAAGTATTTCAGGTCCTCCTCAGTGTCAGTAAACAAAATTGTGTTACATAATGCAGATTCCAGTCTATTCCTTCGATCTATGGCCATGACTTATTTAGGTTTGGACGTATGGATGTTGTTAGTATGTGCTATTGAGTTAATAACGATTTATAACGATCCTATGAACAAAAGAGCTAAACTTCAAGCTGCCCTGTGCTGTTCTCATTATTTCCATCATATTCAAACTCGTTGTTACAATTCCTCATGTTGAAGGTCTTCCTCTCTTTCTCTGACTCTCCCCCTTTCCCAGCATGATGTCTTTGTACAAGGACTGGCCCTTTCTAACATGGCCAGAGTATGTGAGAAAATTTTATTATCCTTGCCCTTATTCAAAACAAATGTGTTTGTTCTGCGGGTCTGTAGGATATTCAGTGTTCTTCTCCAACATCAAAACTCAGAGGCACTGATTCTTTTTCTGTCATCTTTATTCATTGTCCAACTTTTCAGATACATAGGAAGTAACTAAAAATACCATGGAAGGAGGAAAGACAGAGAATGAGGAGAAGCTGCCTGGGAGAAGCGCGTGAGCCATAGTTCAGGCTGGATGTACTACTTCAGCCCCATCACTGACACCAGCCAATGGGAGCAACCCAGTGGTAACAGCATCAGTAGTGGCAAGATTGGGCAGGGCGACCCGAGCAGGTTTGCTGCTCGCATCTGCTGGTCAAAACCAGCCAATCCTGGTGGGCCTCTTCTTGGAGACAGAAAAAGATGACTGAAGAAGCTCTGCAGCTGATCAATGGCTACATCCAGAAGATCAAGTCTGGAGAGGAGGACTTTGGGTCTCTGGCCTCACAGTTCAACTAGTTCGGCCAAGGGCAGGGAGAGCTTGGTGCGTTCAGCAGAGGCCAGATGCAGAAGCCATTTGAAGTTGCCTTATTTGTGCTGCTAACAGGGTTGATGAAGAGGCCTGTGTTCCCATGCATCTACATCATCCTGTGAATGAGGCTAGAGCAGCCAGGCCTCTTCTGCGTGGTGAGGAGAACAAGGCTCCAGCCTACCCGCCTCTCCTCTCTGCATAAGTCATACAGTATTTATTGATTCCAAAAGGCTTGAAAAGGTTCTTCAAGACCTGGGTTCTGGGCCCCCCCTTTCACCCTCCTGTTGAAGGGATGCCTGCTAGGGTGGTGGGCTTGGGCAGGGGATGGAGACTCCTAGACAAAAGGACAGGTGCAGCCATGGTGCACCTTAATCTTTAAACTGACATTCTTGCTCTTTAGGACTTTGGAGAAGTCACTGACAGCAGAACATTTTTGGATTTTATTTTGTTTTGTCTTTGGATTTATTGACTGCTGCTACCATAGGTGTTGATTGTGGATACACATAAAATGGGGTCATTGACAACTTCAATCTTTTCTTACTCTGTCATGATGGTTCAGTGGTTTGGTTGGCACCAAATTCTTTCTAGAACATTGACAAGATAGCACTATTTAGTCTAGGACGTGAGCACCATGCCCAAACATCTTATGAGAGAAGATACTGTGGAAAAAATATTCTCACATCCCAATGTTCTGTATTTCCTATATAAGTTCCTCTCATTCTTTAATAACAACAAGGACCAGAAATTGTGCTAACTTTATATAATCTTGAGCCAGGAATCGGCATAGGCTTCTGGGATTAGTTACAAGTTAAAATTTGTCTACGCTGAGTTTATCAATTGTGGCCAACATTCAGGTTTCTTTTTGAGATCTTGGGGATCATCCATCACAGATAATGAACCTTGCTAGCATAGTGGACCTTAGTTTTGGTCATGTAACATGAAGGCACAGGGTCTTAGCAAAATGATTCCAAATGTGAGATAGGGGCGCTTGACAGCAATAGGTCATACAGGTTAGGGCACAAGGATGTATTACCTTACATGTCAGAAAAGTTGCCAATGGCTTACTGTGCCTGCAAATGATCTCAAATAACCAAACATCTTTAAGAAGTTATTAAGGCAGAGCCTCATTTCTCTAACTTCTCTTTGCTTCTGTCCCAAACATAGTATCAGACAAAGCTGAGTGTTCTACTTCTTTGACCATTTTAAATGATATTTAATCTTACTTAAATTTGGATGATGCTTGTACTAACACAAGCTTGACAGTTTGAACACAGTCAGAGATAACACAGAAGAAATGCCTGGTAATCTACTTCTGTAAAGATTACTGTCAAGAAAACCTTACAGAGCAGGTCTACACTGTAATATAAGGGGTCACCATGGGTGGGAATTGACTCTATAGCAACAGGTTATATGTTAAGAGATGCAAAATATTTTGAGACTACATACCAAAGTATCATCCAGGAAGAGTGCAAATGGTCATTACAAAGACAGAAGAGAAAAAAAAGAGCAAAATGGATGTCAGAAGAAACTCTGAAGATTGCACTGGAGTGTAGAGAAGCCAAAGCACAAAGAAGAATTCAAGATTCTAAAGAGCTGAACAGAAGATTTCAAAGGGCAGCATGGGATGGCAAAGCAAAATATTACAATGAGATGTGCAAGGAGCTGGAGTCAGAAAATAAAAAAGGCCAAACTCACTCAGCATTTCTTAAGCTCAAGGAACTGAAGAACAAATATAAACCTCGAGTTGCTATAATCAAGGATGCTTTAGGTAGAATATTAAATGATCCAGGAAGTATTAAAAGAAGATGGAAAGAATATACTGAGTCACTATATCAAAAGGAACTGGCAGACACAGAACAATTTAATGAAATAACATATAAGCAATGACCTATGGTGATGAAGGAAGAAGTTCAAGCTGCTTTGAAGGAAATAGCAAAAAAATAAGGCCCCAGGAATAGATGGTATACCAATTGATGTATTTCAGTTAACAGATGCTGCCCTGGATGTGCTCACCAAGTTGTGCCAAGAAATCTGGAGAACAACCAGTTGGCCTACTAACTGGAAGAGATCTATACTTGTTCCCGTTCCAAAGAAGGGTGACCCAACAGGGTGTGCAAACTACAGAACAATATCATTGATTTCACAAGCAAGCAAGATTCTACTGAAGATTATCCAAAAATGACTGGAACAGCACATCAGCAGAGAACTGCCAGAAGTCCAGGCTGGGTTTAGAAGGGGTCGTGGTACTAGGGATATTGTAGCTGACGTTAGATGGATCTTAGCTGAAAGCAGGGAATACCAGAAGAATATCTGTGTTTCATTGATTATGCAAAGGCATTTGACTGTGTGGATCATAACAAACTGTGGTTGACTCTGAGAAGAATGGGCATCCCAGAACACTTGATCATGCTAATGTGAAACCTATACTTGGACCACGAGGCAGTCATCAGACCAGAGCAAGGAAACACTGCATGGTTCAAAATTGGGAAGGGCGTACCCCAGGGATACAACCTATTTCAATACCTTTTCAACCTGTATGCAGAACAGATTATCTGGGAGGCTGGGCTCTATGAGGAAAATGTGGGGTCAAGATTGGTGAAAGATCTACTAACAATCTGTGTTATGGAGATGACACAACCCTGCTTGCTGAAACTGAGGAGGACCTGAAGCGCTTGCTGCAGAGAGTCAAGGACTGCAGCCTACAATATGGATTGAGGCTCAATGTCAAGAAGACAAAGATTCTCACCACTGGGCCAATTGGCAGCATCAGGATGGATGGTGAAGAGACTGTTCACAGCTTTAGTCTGCTTGGCTCCACAATCAAGACCCTTGGCACCAGCCGCCAGGAAATTAAAAGATATATTGCGATGGGAAAGTCTTCTGTTAGGGACCTCTCCAAAGTACTGAAGAGCAATGGTGTGTCTCTGGAGACTAAGGTGCGTCTAGTACAGGTCATGGTCTTTGCAATCATTTGTTATGCATCAGAGAGCTGGACAATGACCAGGGAGGATAGAAGGAGAATTGATGCTTTTGAGCTTTGATGTTGGAGAAGAGTGCTGAGGGTACCATGGACTACTAAGAAAACAAACAGATTCATCTGGAGAGGGTTAAACTGGGATGCTCCTTGGAGGCAAGGATTCTGAGACTTTGTCTGACATACTTTGGTCATGTTGTAAGGAGGGACCAGTCCTTGGAGAAGGACATCATGCCTGGGAGGTTGGAGGGCAGGTGCAGGAGGGGAAGGCCCTCTGGGAGGTGGATTGATTCGGTGACTGGGGCAATCTGGATGAGTGTGTTGGAGACAGTGAGATTGACACAGGGCAGAGTTTAGAGCTGTTGTATATAGGGTCCCTATGAGTCGCAAGAGACTCGACAACACATAACAACAACACAAAGAAAACAGGAGGAGGGAGAGGGAGGTAAGTGTGCATGAATGAATGAATAATGTTTGTCGTTGTTATGTGCCATCAAGTGGTTTGCGACTCATAGAGACCCTCTGTACAACAGCCCTAAAACTTGCTGTATCCTGTGCCAATCGCATTGCCTCTGACACACCCAAACTCTAACCAAATGGAGGGTAAACTATGAATTGGCAATGAGAGCTGAATTGAAAGAAAAGAAAGGGGAAAATAGCCACTTTAAGAGAAGATATAAATGATATGTTATAATTTGAAATCTCCCTGACCTAACATGGTCTCCAGTCAGGCTTTGTCATTAGATTCCCTCTTTTGGATCAGCCAGTGCAAAGAGAAAATTCAAGTAATTTTTCTATGACCTTGTCATCTCTCTACTCCCAAACTTTCAGTGACTTCCCAATGTTGACAAAAAAAAAAAGTTGAAGTCCTTAGGATGACATTCAAATTGAGCACTATTACAGTTCATAGTTATAATTTTACATTTGTCTATAGAAATCAACCTCAATTCTGCTTTTCCCTACTAAATTATAAGCCATTTTTGTTTATCATTATAGCACTGACCCAATGTCTGACATGGAGACAAGTGCTTAGCATTTATTAAATGAATGAATGTAAAAGAACTTTGTGCTTTGCTTCAGAGAACATGGGCTGGATATCAGAATTACTTTATATTGTCCTGGCTTCCTACTTGACCTTTGTGGACTAAGTCCCCTGAGGACTTGAACTTCAAGCCAACCATAGCTGCATTCTGGCTTCCCAAGGATTCTTGAGTTACCCTAGCTTCCACTCTCAAGGCTTCCCTACTAGGATGTTTGTTTCATATGCATTGCTGAAGTGATAGGAATAAAAGACACAGAATACTTTCCTTCCATCACATTTTATTATTTTAAAATTTTTATTTAATTAAAAATATGTATTTATTTTTTATTTCCACTCATTCAATGTTGCACACTATTTAATTTTTTTAAAAAATTTCAATTTTTTAAAATTATTTTTTGTGTGTTTACCATCAAATCCGATCTGACTGGTACTGGAAGAGATTGCCCCTCCTCCAGCAAAGCATCTGGTGGACTCGAACTGTGTACCTCTGGGATTGCAGTTGTTGTTGTTGTTGTTGTTGTTGTTATGTGCCATCGAGTCACTTGCGACTCATAGCGACCTTATGTACAACAGCCCTAAACTCTGCTCTGTCCTGTACCAATCGCACTGTCTCTGACACTCCCATCCCGATTATCCCAGTCACTGAATCAATCCACCTCATAGAGGGCCTTCCCCTCCTGCGCTGTACCTCCACCCTCCCAAGCATGATGTCCTTCTCCAAGGACCGGTCTCTCCTCACAACATGTCCAAAGTATGTTAGACGGAGCCTCAGAATCCTTGCCTCCAAGAAGCCACCCGGTTTAACCCTTTCCAGGACGAATCTGTTTTCCTAGAAGTCCACGGTATT